GAGTGACGGGGTGTTCACGCGTGTGCATGGCCCAGGCTTTGCCGCTTGCACAGGCTGTCCCCGCAAGCTGCGGCACCTGCCCAGAGCGGGTGACCTGTTGTGTTCTTTCTGGAGCTCGCTTTGTTTGGTGCGAGCTGTAGGAATCCATATAGCTCGGCAAGGAAATAAGTTGCTGTGGCTTTGTGTTAGATGGGTTCATCGTGTGTCTGTGTGCAGGATTGTGAACGTCTTAAACGCCAAGTTGAAGTCACCGCTCTTTCATTCTAATTCTGAATCTGTTGCTATAAGTGGTTCTTTGTTACAGGAGCGAGATGATCATTGTCGCCGAGGAAACGAGGAGCGAAAGCAGAGATACTCGTCGGAACAGGAGCACAGGAGAGACAGAAGTGGTGACAGAGACAGACACAGAGACCACTCAGACCGAAGGAAGAATCCAAACGAAAGGCCTGGAGTTCGAGGCCACGAGCGAGAGAGGGATGCCCAGAACATCCGCGAGCAGCAAGCCGAGAGGGAGTTTTATAATGAGAGGAGACGAGAGCAGAGACAAAATAATGAAGGCAGCGGCGCTGACCAGAATCCAGAACTGGGGCAATCCGATAGCAAGCCTAAAGAAAAAGCTGCCGTGAACAAAGAGAAGCCAAGCTTTGAACTGTCTGGTGCCCTTCTGGAGGACACCAACACCTTCCGTGGTGTTGTGATTAAGTACAGCGAGCCGCCTGAAGCTCGGATCCCGAAGAAGCGGTGGCGTCTCTACCCTTTCAAAAACGACGAGTTTCTCCCCGTCATGTATGTCCACAGGCAGAGTGCTTACCTCCTGGGCAGGCACCGCAGGATCGCCGACATCCCCATTGACCACCCCTCCTGCTCCAAGCAGCACGCCGTGTTCCAGTACCGGTAAGTGTTGCTCTGCCTACTGGGGAAACAGGCTTGTTCGGGAGCTTATGGGGGAAAAAAACCCACACAACCCGCTAAAAAAACCCTGGATGTACACAGGTGAGAGGTTCGAGTTTGCTGTGAGTATGTGTTTGGCTGCTGCACATCATCCTAGCAGTAATCAAAAATATCTGTAGTTAACCAGCCTTTTAGTAGGACAAAGAGCACAGCAGGGTTAAACGCTGAGCCAGGCAAAGTGGAATAAAGCGACAGATCTAGTTGGGCAGTAAAAGTATTTCAAGGAGAGGTTTTGTTCATTTGGTGTCGCACAGCACAGTCCGTGGGGCTCTGGTGCCACGGGGGATGCCTTTTAGAGGGGCTGGAACTGCTTTCCTGGGGCAGGGCTCTGGGAGCCACCGTGTCGC